GACAACTTTAAAAATCTGGAACCAACAAAAAATAGAGAATGAATCTATAACTAATAAGCAAAACATGCAAACGCCACTCTGCGAAAACGTGTGTGAGAGATCAAAACGTTTCCGAGCGGCAAACGAAAGTAATCTTGCGAGTAGGGCTGGGCAAAATATCTGTTATATTTGCTTTGATCCGTTATTCGTCTCAATTCGATCCGAAAAATCCGGATATTCATAATTTTATGGAGCAAAGCAAATACTAAAACTTAATATCCGTTAAAAACGAAGCAAATCACAAATACTAAAAAAAAATTAAAACGGATATCCGCTCCGCTCCGATATAAATATATATGTATATATAGATAGATAATAATTCATATAAAGTGTATAATTATTATATATAAATATAATTTTTTGAGTTTTTGTTTATAAATTTGATTATTTAAATATTAAAACTTAATAAATTAAGAAAAAAATATTTTTTAAAGAAAATATTGTCATTTTTAATTAAATTTTGATTTTTTTATTTTTTTATTTTAAATATATTATTATTTAAATATTTTTTTTGGGCCGAATCGGATATACGGCAAATATTCAGATTTTTGGCGGATATCCGGAAAACGGATATCCGAATAATTACGGAGCGGATACGAATCAGAAAAATAATTATCCGGCCGGAGCGGAGCGGATCACGGATATCTCCAAAATTCCGGATATCCGCTCCGCGCCCACCCCTACTTGCGAGGGTAGTAGTATTTATTTTACCAATACCGTAAAAAGCTCTCTCGAGTGTTGGAAACACGAAAGGATTTGATTCTCCTTGATGTTATATCTGGAGAGAAGCAAGAGCGGATGTAGTTGTGGAGGATCGGGGTCAAGTGTTTCCTACTCTTTTTTTTTGTTTTTTAATGTTTAGATAAATTTAATCAAAATAAATTTAATTTATTGATAAAAAAAAGTTTTTTGTTTCCAACTAACTTTTGTTTTTCCTGTTTATAAATTTATGTCCTCAACTAAAATTTTTTTTAGATCCGCCACGGGAGAGAAGATCGGGACAGGATAAAACCAATGTTTCCACGAAAAGAAAGTGACATCATATCGTATGATACATTCATTTAATAATACTCTTTTAATATTTACGTTTTGGGGAAAAAGAAAGCTCACACCTAGCCACCTCAACTACAAACTCTCAAACTCCTCGTAAATCAGGCAGAATCGTCATAAATTCGTCTGATGATTTAATTCTTACAAAAGGTGTCTTTAGAACCCAAACTCTCATGCATATCAAGCAATATTTTCAAGGGTTTCATGGGTTGGGTTCAGATTTACGCTTTACAAATTACAAGAGTGATGAGGATTTTAGATTTCTCTGATACTAAGTTTAAAGGGAAGAATTTATCCTCTAACATTGAGATCTCATCTAGTTGAGATTCTTGATTTTATATGGGGCACATGTCGCTCATATACCTTATTTCAAACACTTGCCTGCTTGAGTTAATGGTTTAACAAAAATCCAAACACTTTTATAGAATACATGAATTATTAAAATCCAAATACTTTTACAATTACGAAAGCTTAAATAAACTTTAAAGACTATTATCATTTTTGGGGATCAAAACACCCTCAACGCCTCTTTTTCCCTAAAAGAATCTTATCTAACGTCCTCTTCATCTTTTCCACATCAATTCCTTGTCCCCTCACGGTAAAAACGGTGACTTTAAATTCATTAGTATACGTTGATACATAGGTAACTCCTAACATAGAGAAAAATTCATTAGTATACATTGTTTAGAAATTTAAAGCCTACTTGAAATGCTTATATATCTATAACTATAATCAATGGATTATTTTCGGTCAGCATAACCATTGGATTGTGTTTGTGTACCTTTACAATTATCGATAAAATCATGAGCTTTGTTCTTGTTATTTTCATCAGTAAATGCCAATGCGAACTTATATTCTTCCTGCAAAAAAAATGAAATGAAATTATAATTTTAATGAAGTCATCATAAAAAACAATATCGGTTTCTGAATGTGTAAAACTATATATTCACAGTTGTTTTCTTACGGGCTTCCAGACAATTTAACTAACCATATTTTGAAAACTTAAATTGTTTGGAATTTGAATAGAGATGATAAAAACAATGTGATTGCAACTTAGTAACCTTCTTATATAGCATCTATTTATATTCTTTTTTATTTATTAAAATGCACAATTTTGATATGATTTTGTAGTCTTACAGCAATGTGACACATATTCATATGATAATTAAGTTTCCGAGATATGTCAAAATTTTATAAAAATTGTAACATGTCTTAAGAAAAGCCAAAAGTAAGATAAACTAAATAATAGATATCTTTCAAGAACATAAAGAGAAAATAAACTAATAAGTAAAAAAATAATAGAGTAAAAAATGTCTGAAAATTAAAAATTAATTATTTTATATAGAAACAAACTCTTATAAATTTATGATAGCATTGTCAGACATGTTATCTTGTAATTTCTAAGATTTTAGTTTGTACCAAAGTTCTAAAAACTTTATGAAAAATAAATCTCTATAAGGAAAAAAAAAAGAGTGAAGAAAATATGTTTCCCTCGATAATTTTTTATATTAAATATATAAATCTAATGGTTACCATAGTCGCAAAAGCGATACATATAATATTATGATTGTACTACAAGAATCATGCACATCTTTATATTATTATTTGAGTAGATATTTCATAAATGAACCTTTATTTGTAAGATATTACGGAATATTTTACATAAATAAACATTTATTTATAAGATATTACATAAATAAACTTTTACTTAGAAAATATTATTTAAACAAACTTTATAAATATAGAAAGCTCAATTAAATATATGGATATAAATCAAAAGTATTTAGTTTCTTTACTTATTAAAATATTAAAATATATTCTATTATTTTAAATAATAATCAATCCATATATATGAAAAAATCAATTTAAATTTTTGCAATATTTTTCATTTGTAATTTTATTATTATTTAATATCATTTTCGAAAATCAGTACAATTATTTATATAAAAAATGAAATTATGTTTTCAAAATTAAAATTTTTTTTTAACGGGTTGGCCAAAAAATAGTTTAGTAAATTGTAAAATATATTAAGTAGACGGGTTTTTCCATTTTGAACTTATATATAATCATTGTTAACACATATTATATAAGTTATTCACTAAAAATGATAGTTTGATCTCTAATAAAATATTCACAATTAAATTTTTATTTTATAAATATATATATATATATTATATTTTAATCCATGTTGGTATGTATATAAATATATATTAATATCATATCACTTTCATATTTAAAAAAGTTACTAATAATTAAACCGCATAATAATATATATAAGTAAATATCGGTTATGTGATATTTATATAGGTATTGTTATCTAATTGTCACCAATTTTATTTATTTATATTTTTTGGTAAAGAACTTTTGTCACCAATTTAATTCCAAAAAAATAAATTAAATTTAAAGATAATTAAAAAAACATTACCCCGCATAATATGCAGGTTAATTCCTAGTGCTTATGAATTTTACAACATAAGTGTCTTAGACCATCTGTAATGGTGGTTTTAAGGAGGTTTATAGTTGGGGTTTTTGGGTTTTTGGGAATTAAAATAAATCAGGAAAGCCCATTTTTCTTAAAGTCGGGTCTTAAATTGCAGCTTGTAGACTCGGTTTTGGGAGAGGTTCACGGGTGAGGTGGCGCAATCTCATTGGTTGAACTTTTGGAAATGTTTTTTGTCGCGTCATTCTCACAGTTAACAAAATTTCTCAACTTCTCTCAATTTTCTTCGACACACACTCTCCATCTCTTCGCATCTCCTTCGACGGAAATCGTTGACCGTTAATCGGAGCCGATTTTGCCATCGGTTCTCTTTTCTGTCTTCAACTCTCTTTCTCTTCGGTTCTCGGTTCGAATGAACCATGTTTCACCTCTCTATCTCTTCGGTTTTCGTCTGGGTAACTCATCTGTCTTCATCGCTTCTGTGAACGATCAGGAGTTTGACTCGGAATCGACGATTTTGCTTTGAAAAGGTATGTAATCGGCAACTCTTCGTTTCTATAGATCGTTGATTGTGGTGAATATGATTGAATTTAGGGTTTTCAAAATTGGGGGAAATTTAGGGTTTTCGAAATTTGGGGAAATATTAGGGTTTGTGTTGCGATAATCAATTGATTGAGATGTTTAGCGTATTTAAGCTTGATTACCTTGTTTAAGCTTCGCAAATCTGGTTCGATTAAGCTTATGTTATTCGATTATGTTATGTTATTTACGTTGGGAATTTTATTTAAGATTGTTTGGTTTTCTTGAATGATCATTTGTTTACATGGTTGTGGATCATAGGACTGAGATAATAAGATTGTTTAAGATTACATAGTGAGATCATAAGATTGTTTAAGACTGTTTTTTAAGCTTATTATGTTGTGGATCATAATATTACATGCTTGCTTTATTGTTTTGGTAACCCTTTGGATTTCTTTTGCGAGGTGATATAGTGAGAGATCGATAGTCTGCATTTAATGGGAATGGAGTTGGCGTTGAGAGGCTTTGAAGCAGGTTAGTTTGGTTTGAATTCTAACTAGAACCTAGTTTGCATTTGGTTTAGTTTGCATTTACTTTAGTATGTTATACCGTTTGCTTTACATGGTTTAAATGTTATTTGCAGAAAGAATGTACTTCACTGCCGATTCCTTTCATCAAAGAATACCACAACCATTCATCAATGCATCAAGGTCAGTCAACTTCTTAACTCTTTGCGTGTTAGGTTGGGTTTAGGGTTTAATGTTTGTTAGCTGGAAAGAGTTGGTAGGTTTAGGGTTTAAAATCAGAATGGGCTTTGTTATCAATGCTTGGTAGGTTTTGTAGTTAAAAAACCCTTTAACCAAACACTAATGTGATAAACTTCAACAACCATCTCTTGAAAAAAATATCTTTCTTAGTAAATCTTCTCTTCTTCTTTTCCCTTATAATCAACATGGCTTCCTCATCAAACAACAATTTTTATGAAAATTCTCTTGATGATACTTTTGATGAATTTGACCAAACGATTGAGAATGTGTTTGAAACCGCGGTTGATGCCGCTTTGGAGTATCAAGCACCAACAAAAGCAAAGAAGAAACGTGCCTACATTAAAAGACAACGTGAAATAGGCGACCAACAGTTGTGGAACGACTACTTCCGTGAAGATGCAACATAGCCGCCGCATATTTTTAGACGCCGTTTTAGGATGAACAAACCGCTCTTCATGCATATTGTCGAGCGACTTTCCGAAGAAGTTTCTTTTTTCCAAAAAAAAGAGATGCTACTGGAAGGTACGGTCTATCTGCAATACAAAAATGTACGGCAGCAATTCAGATTTTGGCGTATGGTTGTGCTTCTGATGCAGTTGACGAATACCTACGCCTTGGAGAAACAACTGCACTTAGGTGTTTGGAAAATTTTGTTGAAGGGATCATCAATGTATTCGGGGAAGAATATCTAAGAAGACCCACCCCAGATGATCTTCAATGGTTACTTGATGTTGGAGAAAACTGCGGATTTCCAGGAATGATAGGAAGCATTGATTGTATGCATTGGGAGTGGAAAATTTGTCCTACCGCATGGAAAGGGCAATACACACGCGGTTCAGGAAAACCAACAATTGTGTTAGAAGCTGTAGCATTATATGATCTTTGGATATGGCACGCGTTTTTTGGACCTCCAGGTACATTAAACGATATCAATGTTCTAGACCGTTCACCTGTTTTCGATGATGTTTTACAAGGTCGAGCACCAAAAGTTTCATACGGGGTCAACGGACGTCAATACCGTTTGGCGTACTACCTCACAGACGGTATTTATCTAAAGTGGGCAGCTTTTGTCCAATCAATTCCATCGCCACAAGGTGAGAAGGCCAAAGCATTTGCGAAACGTCAAGAATCCGTAAGAAAAGATGTTGAACGAGCTTTTGGAGTGTTGCAAGTACGTTTTGCAATTATCAAAAACCCTGCTCTTTTTTGGGATAAGGAGAAGATTGGCAAGATTATGAGAGCATGTATCATATTACATAATATGATTGTTGAAAACGAAAGAAATGGGTATACTCAGTTCGACACAAAAATTTTCGAGCAAGGGGAAGGAAGCGGTCGATAGGACATATTCTACAAACATGCCTACAAATCTCAACAATTTGCTCGAGAAAAGAAATAAAGTTCGCGATAAAATAATACATGAACGACTAAAACAAGATTTAGTCGAACATATCTTGCAACAATTTGGCAATTCTCAAGATGAAGACTAAGCATTTTATGATGTAATTTCAATTTCAATATTCTGTATTTTTTTTCATGTAATGTCTCAATAAAATTATTTTTAAACAAAGTTATATGTTCATAATTATATATATATAAATAATTAATATGCCAAAATCGAATTAATAAATAAAATTTGATAAAAAATAATAATATTATTTTATTATTAAGAATTCCATAAGAAGTTTATCATTGTAAGTATAATATTGTGAGAGGTTCTAATTTTTGTGGGAAACAAAATTTTAATATAATTAAATATAATTAGAACCCCTTATGGGGTTCACCAATACAGATGCTCTTATAGCGTAACTTGCTACAAATTTACGATAAAGGTTGAGACATAATAAATTTTCAGAATAATTAATTTTGCAGGGACTCGCGCGTGGGTATATGTTTCACAACGATTTATAAGAAAGTTTGTATGGCAGATGATCTTGCAAAAACCTAGGCCAGTTGCAATAGTCATAAACATGTGAAAAAGTTCAGATAAATTGTTTACGATGCATAAGATATAATCAAAACCTTTTTTTTCCGAAGGTAAAACCAGAAATATACAAATGGTATGAGGAACAACGAAACGTTAAAAGATTTTCTTGCTTTACTTTGTAATGCAGGGGACTTGTTTTGATAACACAACAAACATAAAAAATTGAGGTGATCCATTATTGCAGAGTCTTGGCGCATAGCATCTCATTGGCAATGAGTCTCCACAAGAGATTTCCACTACTAAAAATATGGGCATTGTTAACAATAGAGAAACGCTGTTATATGCCTATGATAGCGAATTATCAAACGCTGTCTCTGCCCCAGCTATAATAGGTCACCACCATATTATAGCGTTTTTCCATTTTCTATCGTATATGTCACATATGATAGTGTTGTTTTTGACTTGCTATTGATTTGTGTAGCTTACGATAACGTTTTACATCAACGCTATAAATGTTATATGACAGCGTTGTTTTTACAGACTATTATTCTTTTATGATAGCTTTTGAAATTCACGCTATATCAGTTATATTATAGCAATGCCTACATGTTATATATTGTTTTGTTGTAGCACTTTTTTATGCTGTAGTAATTTACAAAACAGATCAAATAATGCTATGCAATATAACTTTCATACGATCCTGAAACCTGATTTCACAAACTGATTTTACACAATTCTCAAACATGTCTCAAACCAACACAAACAAGTCTCATTACCAATCCAACAATACAATACATTACAGAATTCTAAATCATCATTCAAGTCTCAATACAAATAGAAATAGTAGTAGAGTAAACCTGATAAGTTTAACATAATATCACTTTCTCCTTTGGCCATGCAATGGATGTTCCTATTACATCTCCTATACACTCTATTTCAGACGATGGCCTCCAAACTACTGGAGTACTCACCTTTACTATATCAACCCAAACCCTAACTGCATTAGGACCCAAGGAAACAAAATGAACAATCTGGTCTGGATTGTCTGAAGTCTAACGTCATTCAGCAACAACCTGGTTCTTTCCACTAATTTCCATAAATTTTCACTTCTGATTTTCTTTGAGAGCATCATTTGGACTGTGACACTAGAATTTTTGCAATAGAAAAAAATTATTTACAGTTAAAACAATAAAATCTAAGAACCACTTAATACCATATGTTAAACAAATTACCAGAGATCTTCGAAGTGGAGACTGAGCAAGTATTGGTGGATTTTTCTTTATAGGCGCTTTTGGAGTACATGATGCTGTTGCTTTCTTCGTAGGAGATTAGAACCTGGAGATGCAGAATTTGTACCTTTTGATGCAGTTTTTGGAGTTGGTGCTTTTGTAGAGGCTGTAGGAGCCTGCATAGTAGAATTTTGCCATGGTGCTTATGTGGTCTCATCAAAAACACACTTATTCGCAGGCCATGCTACGAATGACTTCACAGCATCTCCAAGGTACCTAATTTGTGTCGTAGGCCTCCATAGGAATGTTTGTTGTCCATGTACCACATCGACAAAGATTTTCACAGAATTTGGTCCTAGAGGAATATCACTAACCAACGCTTTTGGTTCTTTACACTGCCAACGGACTTCAGCAACCACTTTATCATTATCACCAGACCAATCTAAGAGTTTGCATTTGTTCAAACAATCTGTTGTTGGACTCTATCAAATGCATAAAAAAATAATATAAGAAATATATCAACACATTAAACTAATAAGTAATGTTAGTTAATAAGAAATTTAACCCTAAAAGGAATGTCTTCACAATAAAGCCCATTGTCTGAAGGAACACAGTTACTGATTGGCCATGCAATCATTTGGCCAACAGTTTGATCAACAGTATACATCCCTGGTGCAGGTCTCCAAAGGGAAATATCATGACCACTTAATATTCTAGACTTTCGCCCATGTTCCGAATGTCCATCAAACCAAGCCTTCTTAACCCGATACCTATGCGCTGGTGGAAGACCCTTTCTATGGCGCATGTAAACATGCTTTTTTCCATACTTGAGCCACATACTATCAGTATGTTTACCACACAAAGGGCAACTCATTTTTCCCTTCACCTTGCATCAAGCCAGATTTCCATAGGACGAGAAATCACTAATAGTCCACAGAAGCATTGTCTTAAGAGTAAACACATATTTACTCAAGGCATCATAAGTTAACGCTCTTTGGGTCCACAAATGGTGTAGGTCCTCTATTAAAGGTTCTAAGTAGATGTCAATACTGTTACCAGGGTGATATGGACCAGGAAATTAGCAAGGTGAGAATAATATTCTCCTCCTTCATACATAGATGTGGTGGAAGATTGTAGTTTACTAACACAACAGGCCAACAACTATACTGAGTATTCTTCATGTTGAAGGGGTTAAACCCATCTGTGGATAGCCCTAGGCGGATATTCCTTTCTCAGCTGCAAATGAAGGATATTTGTCACTCATTTGATCCCAAGTGACAGAGTCTACATGATGTCTGAGTTTCCCATCAATGCTCTTGTTAATAGCATGCCACCTTAAGTTTTTGGCCATTTCGGCATTTCCTCAGACCTAAACATCCGCTCCAGCCTTGGTAATATGATTCTCCCTGAAATCGACACTCACTAAACTGGATCAAAGGGATAGCCTTGCAAACAAACGAGTTGTATCAAGGTTTGTAGGTTTAGATAAGACTCCAAGGGTTGCGGAAGACCCTTGATGACTGGATTTCCGAAACAACAAAGGATATTACACACCAAAGGTGAATCGAAAAGGCCTTGAAGGATATTACACACCAACAAGAGGGTTTGATCTTACTTAGAAAAGATTTTTGATAAAAGATAAGATGGTCTCAAAAGAGAGTTTACAAGAGAATATAAAGAGAAGAACAGGCGAGTCTACAAAGCATTAAAGTGTCTAGGAACTAGTTCTTTGAAAGCTGGCCAAGTTTGAATTCAAAACTCTTCTTCACACGCTCCTCTCTTCTTTCCTTGGACTCGGCTAATGGCTTAGATGTGAGGTGATCCAAACTATGCCTCATTAAAAAACCTATCTCAAGAAAACCCATTGGGACAAAACTTGAGATAGGGAAAAAGAGTACATAGTTGGATCACAAGCCCATTAGCCTTCTCGGACTTGGATCACAACTAGTGTAGTTGTACCCATCTCTTTTCCCATTTGTTCCATAAGCACTCCTTGCTTAAGTATAGCTCCAACAGCTTCCTTGAGCCTCTTGGTCCTTGCTCGGGTCATAAGACCTTTTGAAATGAGCAAAGGGTTTTCTTGTTCCATTCCTTGATCCTTGTCTTTGCTCCTCAGCTCCTTAGCTCCTTGCGCTCTCCTTATGGTTCTAACTCTTTATTGATGCTATCCAAGATCATATCATCCCCCCTTTTTGAAAAATATTTGTCGTCAAATCTGGATCATCTGCAAAATAAGGAATCAAGTCAGCAATATTGAAAGAAGAACTTATCTTGTACTTACCTTGTAGATCAAGTTGATAAGCGTTATCATTGATCTTTCTAATTATCTCAAAGGGTCCATCAACTCTTGGCATCAGTTTAGAGTTCCTTTCTGCTGGAAATCTCTCCTTCCTTAGGTGCACCCAAACGAGATCTCCCTCCTCAAAGGTAAGCTTGCGTCGGCTTTTGTTAGCGTGCTTGACATATTGCTTTGTTTTCTCCTCTATGTTAGCTCTGGCCTTTTCATGGATCTGTTTAACAAGCTCTGCTTTTGTCTTTCCATCTAGGCTAGTTCTTCACTCAAAGGAAGAGATGTTAGATCCAAAGGCAACAAAGTGTTAAAGCCATAAACAAAACTTAGTAGCCGAATGCACTGAATGATTATATGTGAATTCTACATGAGGCAAACAGTCTTCCCATGCTTTTAGATTCTTTTTGATCAATGCACGCAATAATGTAGACAATGTTCTATTCACTACCTCAGTTTGCCCATCAGTTTGTGGGTGACAAGTAGTGGAAAACAATAGCTTTGTACCTAACTTAGACCAAAGAGTTTTCCAAAAATAACTCAAGAACTTGGTAACCCTATCAGATACTATGGTTCTAGGCATGCCATGTATTCGAACAATGTCCCTAAAGAACAGATTAGCAACATGCGATGCATCATCAGTCTTATTACAGGCAATGAAATGCGCCATCTTAGAAAACCTATCAACTACAACAAAGATCAAATCCTTTCCAGTCCTAGATCTAGGCAATCCAAGCACGAAATCCATTGATATATCAGTCCAAGGGTGATAAGGAATATGTAAAGGTGTATAAAAACCGTTGGACTGAACCTTAGCTTTAGCTTGCTTACAGGTTGCACATCTTGCACAAACTCGCTCAACGTCTCTCTTCATGTAAGGCCAATGAAAATGATCTTGTAATACCTTCAAGGTTTTGGCTATGCCGAAATGACCCATAAGTCCACCTCCATGAGCTTCCCTGACTAACAAGTCTCGAATAGAACAGTTAGGGATGCACAATCGATTATGAAAGAAAAGAAATCCCTCTTGTCTATGATAATAACCCGAAGCAAACTTAGCGCAAGACTCATAAGCGTTTTGAAAATCCGAATCAGATAAATACAGAAGTTTTAGTTGTTCAAAACAAAGAAGTTTAGCATCAAGAGTAGAGAGTAGAGTGTACCTCCGAGACAATGCATCGGCAACTACATTGTCCTTACCTTTCTTGTAATTTGATGACATAAGGAAAGGTCTCAATGAACTCAACCCACCTTGCGTGCCTCTTATTAAGCTTTTGCTGTTCTTTTAGATGCTTGAGGGATTCATGATCGGTATCAATGACAAACTCCTTGTGCCACAAGTAATGTTGCCATGTTTGTAAAGCCCTGACCAAAGCATACAGCTTTTTTTCGTAGGTTGGGTAATTGAGGGTGGCTCCTCCAAGCTTTTCACTAAAGAAAGCAATCGGATTCTTTTCCTGCATCAGCACAGCTCCGATTCCTATACCTGAAGCATCACATTCTATTTCAAAAGTTTTAAGGAAATCAGGTAAAGATAATAGAGGTGCATTAGTAAACTTATGCTTCAAAGCTTTGAACGCGGCTTCTTGAACTTCTCCCCATTGAAATCCAACATCTTTTTTGATAACTTCTGTGAGAGGGGCGGCTATAGTGCTGAAATCTCTGACAAATTTTCTATAGAATCCGGCCAGGCCATGAAAACTCCTAACTTCTCCGACAGTTTTAGGGGTTGGCCAGTCTTTGATAGCCTTGATTTTCTCTTCATACACCTTAATGCCATCTGCACTCACAAAAAAACCTAAAAAGACAAGGTTATCTGTTCCAAAGGTGCATTTTCTTAGATTGGCATATAGTTCTTCCTTTCTTAGCTCATCTAGAACAGCTCTCAAATGCATTACATACTCATCTAGATTCTTGCTATAAACGAGGATATCATCAAAATAGACAACTACAAAAACCCCTATGAATTCTCTAAGGACATGATTCATTAATCTCATGAATGTACTAGGTGCATTAGTTAAACCAAATGGCATAACAAGCCATTCATACAAACCATGTTTGGTCTTAAAAGGCAGTTTTTCACTCATCTCCTTCCTTCATTCTAATCTGATGATATCCGTTTTAAGAACAATTTTAGAGAATATGCTAGAACCATGCAACTCATCTAACATATCATCGAGTCTAGGGATAGGGTGGCGATACTTTACAGTGATATTATTGATAGCTCTGCAATCTACGCACATTTGCCAACTCCCATCCTTCTTGGGCACCAACAGAACCGGTACTGCACAAGGACTCATGCTTTCTCTTATGTGTCCTTTCTCCATTAGTTCATCGACTTGTCTTTGTACTCCTTTGTCTCAATCGGATTGGTTCTATAAGCAGGGCGATTTGGCAATGAAGCACCAGGCATGAAATCAATCTGATGTTCAATGCCTCTAAAAGGAGGTAACTCTTTAGGATTATCTTCAGGGAAGACATCATTGTATTCCTGCAAAAGAGTTTGAATCTTACTCGGCAAAGCCGGTGTGAGGTTAGTCATATTGGTGAGAGCCTCCTTAAACACAAATAAAAGAACCGAATGGTTAGAGTTAAGAGATCTTTTGACATCACCAGCCTTTAAGTAGAAGTTAGATGCTTTAGTAGGCGGCTTTGTCTTTTGCTTTAGCTGCATTTAATCCTGGTAGACTTCTTGAGGCGTCAGAGGTATGAGGGTAGTCTTCCTGCCTTTTTTTAAAAAAGGAATACTTGTTAGTAAACCCATCATGAATAACTTTTTGATCCAATTGCCATGGCCTGCCTAGAAGTATGTGTCATGCGTCCATGGGCAACACATCACACTGTATCTCGTCTTTATATCCTCCAATGGTAATAAGGACCATGACTCGGCTTTTGACCTTTAATTCCCCATCATTATTCAACCAGTTGAGCTTATAAGGTCAGGGGTGCTTCTCGGTGGCTAGGTTGAGCTTTTGTACCATCTCTTGACTTGCTACATTAGTGAAGCTACCTCCATCTATGATGAGGCTACAAACTTTCCCTTGCACAAAGCATCGGCTATGAAATAGATTCTCTCTCTGCTCCTCTTCCATAGCTTTGGCTTGCACGCTTAGAGACCTTCTTGATACAAGTAAGGAACCTTGAGCTGGAAGTTATTCATGATCAGAATGAGACTCGGCTTCAGATTCAGCTGTTGATTCCCATTCACCATCATCCCTGAGTATCATAATCTTCTTATTTGAACACTCATTTGCGTAATGTCCTATCCCAAGACACTTGAAACACTTGACGTCTCTAGTTCTTGTTGACCCCACGGCTTTGTTGCGGTTATCAGATACTGAAGTGAATGACTTAGGTTCTTCCTTAGAGATTCCTGTTGGCTTCTCTTCTTTTGATACTGAACTCGGCTTCTCCTCTCGAGAATACCTCGGTTTAATAGGCATTGTCCCAACTCCATAAGCGGTTTGGTGCTTCTTCTCTTGAGTTGTTGTTCTATGAGGATAGCTTTGTGAAACATATCTTCTAATTCCTCATATTGCTGCATCTCAAGCTTGTCTTGAATCTCTCTGTTCAACCCTCCTAAGAATCGAGACATAGTGGCTTCAGCATCTTCTCTGATATCAGCTTGTAGCATCAAGGTCTCCATGTCTTGATAATAATCTTCAACGGACCGGCTGCCTTGTGTGAGCTGCCTAAGTCTTTGGTGCAACTCTATATGGTAGTGGCTCGGCACAAACCTTTTCCTCATGAAGGATTTCATCTCCTCCCAAGTATCAATCGGAAATTGCTGATTTCTTCTTTTAGTTGTAACAACCTGATCCCACCAGCAAAGAGCATAATCTTAAAACTCGGTAGTAGCTATCTTTACTCGATTAATACCGGCGAATTGTTGACAATTGAACAACAATTCGATCTTCTTCTCCCACTCTAAGTAGGCGTCAGGGTTGTTTTTGCCGTGAAAAAGAGGGATCCTGAGTTTAACTCCTCCAAAACCTTCTTGAACTCGATCCTCCTTGTGTCGCATATGCCTTCGTTGGCTGTCTCTTGAGGAACTACTAAGGTGACCGTAATAATCTGTGGCCGCATCATCTCTGAGAGGTCTAGTCGGCTCCAAAACTTCCTCAGGCTCTTTCCCTAGATCCCTTCTCTTATCTTTGCTAGCCTTTGTTTTAGTTTGCTCTTGAATCTCCTATCGAAACTCTTCAAGACTCACAGACACAAGCTTCTTAACTTCGGCCAACATCGCCTCCATGTATAGCTTGTTAACACCATTAGCACTGGACTCTTCTTGTTTCTCACTCATCGTTCCTGAAACACAGTTAACACAGAATCACCAGCAACAAGTCTTTGATCGTTTCACACAACAAAAATGATTATTCATGTTCCACAAGAAATCATGTTCGATAGTTTGAATGTGAAAAGTCAGATTGCAAAACACAGAGCTGATGCTTAGAAGTTAAAAGGTTACTTAGATCTATCCTGACTTGATGTAAAACAGCAACTAGTTCACAGGTAATCGATCTCGCTTTAAGGAATCTAAGTCGATTTGATGCAGTGAAACACAAATAACAGATTCGATTAATGATTATGATGATCAAACTTTTAAAACACAGAAATAATCGATAAACATCAAGGGTAAGATACAACCTGATGTTTTCGACGATCCAGCGGTTTGAGTGCTTGCTCTGATACCACTTAATATGATTCTCCCTGAAATCAACACTCACTAAACTGGATCAAAGGGATAGCCTTGCAAAAAAACGAGTTGTATCAAGGTTTGTGGGTTTAGATAAGATTCCAAGGGTTGCGGAAGACCCTTGATGACTGGATTTTCGAAACAACTAAGGATATTACACACCAAAGATGAATTGAAAAGGCCTTGAAGGATATTACACACTAACAAGAGGGTTTGATCTTACTTAGAAAAGATTTTTGATAAAAGATAAGATGGTCTCAAAAGAGAGTTTACAAGAGAATATAAAGAGAAGAACAGGCGAGTCTACAAAGCATTAAAGTGTCTAGGAACTAGTTCTTTGAAAGCTGGCCAATTTTTAATTCAAAACTCTTCTTCACACGCTCCTCTCTTCTTTCCTTGGACTCGGCTGATGGGCTTAGATGTGAGGTGATCCAAACTATGCCTCATTAAAAACCTATCTCAAGAAAACCCATTGGGACAAAACTTGAGATAGGAAAAAAGAGTGCATAGTTGGATCACAAGCCCATTAGCCTTCTCAGACTTGGATCACAACTAGTGTAGTTGTACCCATCTCTTTTCCCGTTTGTTCCATAAGCAATCCTTGCTTAAGTATAGCTCCAACAGCTTCCTTGAGCCTCTTGGTCCTTGCTCGGGTCATAGGACCTTTTGAAATGAGCAAAGGGTCTTCTTGTTCCATTCCTTGATCCTTGTCTTTGCTCCTCAGCTCCTTAGCTCCTTGCGCTCTCCTTCTGGTTCCAACTCTTTATTGATGCTATCCAAGATCATATCACTTGGGATTATGGGAAAGTATCATAAAACTTTATGTGGGACCCCTTTCTTCACCTCACCGGTTTTCATGTTGATCTTCCACCTTGAAGCCTTGCAATTTGGACAATAGTCAAGCTTGTTTAACGTCTTCCTGAATAGGCAGCAGTCACTGATACACACATGAATCTTCTCATAGCCGATATCAAAAGACTTCAAAAACTTCTTCACATCATACAATGATGTATGCAGCACGTTGTCATCTGGTACATCTTTGGCAGTGTCTCTAGCAGTTCGTTAAGCTCTTGTCAGATCAGCCATTCTCTGTTCTTGAGTCGAAATA